AAAAATATCACATAAACGCATATTATCATCAGAAAAAGTTGGATAAGATGTTTCAGAACTGTTAGACCTCAAAGGCAATGAGACAGATTCTCAATAGAATAAAAATACCTGATGCAATAGAGTGTTAGTCTTAGAAAGTTGTCCTATAATTCGTAGTGAAAATTTTCTGAGGACAAGCAGAAAGGACAACTATATTATGCGTCCCTCCTGACCTTACTTACCCTAGTAAAAATCGAAACTCTTATCTTTTTTTTATTTTTTTATCTATAGGTTTACACATATGTCATATATATACCATAGGAAAATTACGATTTTTTTTACTTATAGGTATACACATATATCATATATATACTATAGGAAAATTACGATTTTTTTTCTAGAAATTACTACTTTTTACTATTGACAGTAGGGACACTAATCAAGAAAGAAATAAAATAGCCTAATAATCTCAAGAAAGATAACAAACCCGTCTCCCTTGAAGTCACCTCTTAAAAATTTTACTACAGACAGGAGGGACTGCTCATAAAAAAGAGGCGTATAGCACAGTTGACAAAGGACCAAGAATAAATGCATTCTTGATAGGTATAATCTAGGGTATTCTTCTCTGTATTCATTGTATAAAATATTGGAAGAAGAATATCCTAACACTAGTATGTACCTGAGTATGCTATTAGCCTTCGCGAAATATAGAGATATACCAAAAAGAGATGTAAAAGAGATGTATAGTAATCTAGTAAGCAAATTGTAAATAAAAGGGAAACAAATATATATCTGAAAATGAAGCCTTCTGCAAAATTATATTATATAAAAATGGCAGAAGTCTTCATTTTTTTTTTAGATATGTACTTAGTATGGTATAGCCTTTTTCAGATGTATTATATAAAAAATTGGAAAAAGACAAGTAGATATGTGTTTGACTACGGTATAGTCTTCACGTAAGACTTATTCACTTAATGTCAGTCAACACTATTTCACAATTTCAGCCAGAACTTTAAGCGTAATAACTTAGTATCCAAGCTAGCATATAAGTAGACTGAAACTAATGAATAAATGAAACCTCTCAAGCATTCTGCTAGTTCCTTACCAGTTCCTCAACAGTTTCATGACATTATATAACACCATCATGACGTCATCATGTTGCCAAACTGAAACCTAAAATTACATGCCCAAAAGATCAACCAGAATTATAGCATAAAGCCAGTCAAAATTAATCACAAATATACTGCACCGTTATCTTTTTTTTACACCACTTCAGTATTTTGAAAGGCAACCAAATAGATGTAAATTCTCAATATAGAACTAGCAACCAAACAAGCACAGAGAGTCAGTAATCTCAACATAAAACCAGGCATTCAAACAAGGATGGAAAGCAATACCAACAATGTAGAGTATATAATGTAAACGAATTAGGAATAAGAAGAAAGCAGTAACCATTAGATCATGATATTACTAAAGATGGTTTCCATAATTATTTTTAAAATTTTTAACTAGTTGCAACTTAAGTTGCAATACTTTGAGTTGCAACTATTTATGAATTTTTATATTAAAATAAGTTTACAAGGAGTTGCAACTTATCAAGTTGCAACTTCTTAATTATGGTATCTATCTTTAGATATTACCATTAAATTAAAGCATTACCATCCACCATTAGACTATAAAATCACCACCATAATATACAGGAAACAATTAAAACAATGATATAAACGCAAAAAAGCTACCAGTATGTAGGTTATGAAGTTACTATCAGATTATGAATAGTAGGTTATGAAGTTACCACTAGATTGTGAAATTAGATTATGAAATCACTACTATATTATGAAATTACTAGCAGACTATGAAGTTAAAATTATGTTATGAAGTTACCAGTAGACTATGAAGTTACTATTATATTATGAAGTTACTAGCAGATTATAAAGTTATATTCATGATCTAACCCAAGTCGCATATGACTTTCATAATATAATTATATTATGAAAGTCACATGCGACTTCTCTAACCAACTGATCTACTAGTTTAAATCCCAAATGCTACTCAAATATTCCTCAAATATCCCTTAAAAGTTGCGAGAAGGTGATAGAAAAAGTGAAAAACTAGAGTATGGTCATGTGATATCAAAAATTTAGATGCAGTAAGTTAACGATAATTTTGACCAGATTTTTGAATACAATAACTTAGAATTCATGTTGGGTGAATTTATAGAATATTTCTGGATTAATGATGTCATCTGATGCTAAGATTACTATTATATGTTTCTCTTAACAATATGCGTATAAAGTATCATTTGACACAAAGCCCTTTAGGATTACTATTATATGATTCTTCTAACTTTATATGTGTAGAATATCACAAAAACTTTAGGTGCAGTAAATTAACAATATATATGCAAAGATCACATGTTATTAAGACTTCTAGGAGCACTATTAGATAACTCTTCTAATAATATATGTATTTTTTCACAATACCCATTTTTTAAAAAAAGGTGTAGTAGAGTTTCATTTAATTTTGTCTAGCACTATTCTTTAACTTCAGCCAAAACTTTAGATATAATAATTCAGCACCCAAGCTAGCATAAAACTGACAAACTAATAAAACATCTCTGACTTCCTGTAAGTTTCATAACAGTTTCTCACCAGTTTCATAACAGCTCCACAGTAGTTCTAGGATACTATCAAGTCACCATCATGACGCCAAGCTGGATCTTTGAATCACATGCCAAATGATCAGTCAAAATTATGGTATAGTGCTGGCCAAAATTAATTGCAGATCTACTGTGTCACCCAAAGCAATATTTTTTTATACTATTTCAGTATCCTAAAAACAACCAAATAGGCATGCATTTTATTTATATTTACTAACCAACAGGTCATAGAAAGGAAAACAGACCCTATCTTTAGGATAAATAAATCAATAGATTATAATGTCTTAGGACATATTGGTCTAGTATAAGCGGAAAAAATTACCTATGAAAATAATCCATGAAAACGCTTCATACTATATATATAGTATGAAGCATTTTCATGAGGTTATTTTCATGAGGTTATTTTTTTATGGAGTTATTTTCCTTACTTATGTATATTATAAGTAATTTTAATAAAAATATAATTGTAATTTATAATAAATAAACAGATATATAGATACATAAGATTAATAATTTTATAATTTTATAATTATTATAAAAGATCATAAAGAATTTGATCACTAAATACAAAATCTTTCAATTAATCATATATTGCTGATTTTTTATTTTTTATTAGAAAAAATTATAAAATACACAAAATTAGTTTAATAATTAAAATTATTAAAAGATATTAAAGTATCTTAATTATATTATTATGATTTATAGTTAAAAAAATATATATTTATTATTTAAAATTATTTATATAATTCAAATTTTATATTTTTAAAAATAGATTAATAATGAAATGTTAAGTTTCAAAAATTAAGATTCTGGGTTCCCGCATAAGTTTAATATATTTTTTTAATTTATATTCAATTAACAAATTATCATTAGAAAATAAAATATAATGCCAGTAAAATAAAAATCTTCTCTAGAACTGGCAAATTTATTGGGACTTTTAGGACCGTTTAACATCCCTACTTTTTTTAAAGGTATGTATACAGCATAGCATCTAAATTATCTGTAAAAACCGTTTCCTTGGGAAATGATCAGTCATGTGATTTTTTGGCATTTTTTTTCACTAAGGCAGAAATTGATTCTGGGATTATTGTAATAACTTATATTTTTAAACATATGATTATATATGGTATGATGTTACCGCTATACAATTTGTTCTGTATGTCGAAAATAATAAAATACTAACTAATTAATAACCACCATGTTCGATAATAATTTTTCATATAAGATGGAATAATTCAAAAATTTGTCTTACATGAAGGTGGGTGGAATAAGAGCTGTGACAAGATGTCACGATCAGAATTGCTGTTAAATGTAGTTTTATTGATATAGAAACATGATTTGGAAATACACAGATTTGTTTACTAGTGAAATCGTATTCTATACTAATGCACCTTTTCGATCATCTACAGCAATGATGGGTTTTGGACTTATTTTTTAATTTTAAATATTTTGGACAAGGTTTTGAACATATGAAATTGTGTCCAAAACCTGTCCAAACTGTCCAAAATTGTTCATTTGTCCTTACATCGATATTCTGATAGAATAAAAAAAAGCGGTCATCAGTTATACTAATACGAAATGTGCTGTGTTGGAAAATACATTACGAAAGTTTATATTGTCCACCCTCTGTAATAATAAATTCTTTGGGAATTCTGTAAAAAAAAACAGTCATTAGTTTGCTAGTCCAGAAGTTGCTTCCTCGCAAATGTACAGCCATGACTGAAAAATATTCATACCTTATCATCTCGTCCGGAATTTAGTACATTATAGTAGCGAAAGTTAGGGCTACGAATATAACTATCAATAATAAATATATTTTTTTTTGTAAGAATGATAAAGATTTGCTAGAATAAAGTTTAAAGAACTATCACATAAAGAACTTAGCTATCTTTTTTTTTGTGATCGGTTTATCACTGCATGATGATACACCTCCCGAGTGGAGTCACGAATCATAAACTTTGGAGGTAGTTTCCTAGGTCCAAAGCGTAAGGATAGTGTAAAGGGTGAGCATTTCTGCGAGACCCTCATCTTTTTCTATGATACACCTCCTGAGAGTGGAATCACGAGTCATAAACTTTGGAGGTAGTTTCTAGGTCTAAAGCGTAGGGATGGTGTAAAGGCGAGCATTTCTGCGAGGCTCTCGTAGAAAGGCAGTGATGTTTAAAAACACAGTTTTTAGTAACTGTTAAAAGTTTGGAGTGGTATTAAAACTTTTATACATTTCTTTGTATTATCTGCACATGATGAAATAGGGATGCGTTATGCATAATTTGTCTATACTGAGACGCGTTGATTATCATTATATATATCTGGTACTTTCTCTTTAGGGGTCGATATACTTCTTTATTACGACTAGTTAATTATGGATTATAAAGTCCCCACGCATGCAGAAATCGATGAATATTTCTCTAATAATCTGGTGTCGGAATGGCATCTTCTTAATGTATATATGAATTCCAAATTAGAGTCCAGCCCACTTTTGACGGCACCAGAATTATTTAGGTCCATTTGTAAATTGCTGAGTTTAATTGAGACAAATGAGAAGAACAGTTACCCCAAATATGTTTCAGAATATGCGAAAAAGCTAAGGATAGCTGTGAAGGTAACCTTTGCTAATAAATCTCACTTTCCAAAATCTGATATAACTAATCAATAGTGTTATAGACGAAAAAAACTTTTTCATGAAAATTGCTGAGAAGATTGTTGAGCGCGCTGAACGACAAGAATTAATGAGAGAAAATGAGAATGAAATTCAACAAAAACAGGTCTTTCTATTCTTTCTACACCTTAGAGGCTTAGAATAATGTTAACATAACAATTAATCTTTAGATCATGTAAAATCAAGCATCTAAGTCGAAAGCATTGGACAAAATAACCAATGCGATTGTTGGAAAAACTGGAAAACGTAAAAGAGACAGTAATGATGATGATGAGAATAAGACTGACAATAATAGGATTTCTAAAAATGGAAAGATTGAACCAATGGTGAGAACAAGTTTAGTTTCATCACCTTTAAATGATTTGTGCATACACTTATAGTACTCATTAGGTCCAAGAAAATTATGAAGAAATAGCTACCTCCGAAAAAGGACATAGTAATGGCTTCGAAATATCTTCATTTGGTATTGAAGTGGGATCCAAACAAATATCTACGTGGGACTATGTGATATCAAAAATGGAAATAAGAGAAGATTCTTCGAAGGATGTATGTTTATAAATATTGCTGAAATAATAACTTGTATATTATATCTTTGCTGAATCATCTTTCCGTATTTGTATTTGAATAGTGGATAAATGAAGGCCACAATTTTTCTGAAGATTTTCAACAATTTCAGAAGTTAATTATCGAAAAACTAAAAACTGATCCAACCTTAAGTTATGCGACTGATGTTGAATCCATAATGTAGGCCTTTCAGCAAAATCATTGTATTTTTTAATAGAATATTTACATGTCATGTGTACTTATAATAGTGCCTTAACGAGCATTATGATATTAAGAAAGAATAAAAAACCAGCCTATGTTTTATGTACTGACAATGAGTGGCGGATGGCGTTTCCACAAATTAACTATAAATTCAAGATTCCAGCCCTTGTCCAAGTCACTGTATGCTCATATACACAGGTAAGATATATATTAATTCTATGCTATATTGGTTTAATACACTTATACGTTGATCTGTATTTTATTGTAAGCCTTTAATGAGGAATGATTTGGCTGAATTTGAAGAATTGTGGAGATTGAACTGGAGTAAAGTATCCTTATTGGAAAATCAAGAAGATAAGAGGATATTCGACTTAATGCAGATTATAACGCGTAATTTGTAAGTAGACAAAAATATTTTATGACATTAGATAATTAATCTGTATATATTTATCGATATAATGTTATGTATAGTTTTTACAACTTACCTTATGGTAAGAAAAAGAACTTATCAAATGAAGACACCTATGTTCACAAAACTTGCCATGCAATCTTGGAGGAAATTTTTCCGTGTCGAAACCCTACAACTTGTATGGTATGTTCTATAATATTGTTTTACAATCAATATTTTTACAAAGACATTTGTGAAATTAACTTATATAAACATTTTTTTATGTAGAGCAAATGGAGAGAGTAGCTCATCAAAAAATCAACATTTAGAGGGTAGCAATGCCCATGGGCTAAGACCAGACTTTCGCTTAATTTGCAAAGATATAGATGAAAGTGAGATTTTATTCAATGAAATTAAGCCCCCAAAAGTGGAAAATCATGTCTATTGTGAATCAGGCACTTGCCAAACTGGCTATACTTATGAAAGATGCACTAGATATAGGAATTTATGATGAAACATACGGTGTACTCATTAATGGTAAGTAATCAGAGCTAATCCTATACTGATGAGCAATATACTAACTATTATGTTTATATAATAGGAAACAGAATTGAATTTTGGAGAATCACTCTACATTACGATGGCTTATATCAGTTGGTGTCTCTAGTTGAAATGACTTTTCCCACTAAGGTAGCAGAGTTCCTTGTGATTCTCTCTGTCATGGAAAGATGTTACAAATTAAAAGTAAGATCTATTTGCAATATTACACTAATTTGTTTTAAGCAATTTTATTTATTATAAATTTCATTTTAGGAGCTTGTCCTTGAAACTGAACAACGTAACATGAGAAAGAGTAACTTCAAACTGAATGAAAACTTTCAGCGTGGTTCAAACTCTAGTTCTATGAAGACAAAAGTGCCTATTATTATTATTCAAAAGTCTCAAAAGTGAGTTCAGCATGATGTATTTTTTATCGAGTATATCATTCTTTTAGCAAGAAAAAGCACTATTGTTATACATGTGGTATAGTTTATATAATTTTTATTATTCCAATGCATAAAGTAGCAAGTGAAAAATATGTGACAGTATATGATGTAAACTATATAAAGATGAAATCTCAATTTGCAAATATATTAATAAAATTACAAAATGTAGTATTAATAATTACGGAGTATATATAGTATGCTTATTTTTTAAACAATATCAATCGCAGTACATTATGATTTTCATATTAAACTGAAATTCATGTAACTATATTAACTACTTCATTTTATGTATGTTTACTTGATTTTTTTATATAACAAAGCAACTAAATTAGGTAATTTGATAGAATATCCCAACATATACACGAGTTTTGTCTTGAAATTAAGGTATTTTTTAAGATCCTTTTAAAAATATGGACAAATGAATAGTTTTGACAATAAAAATATACAAGAGAAAGAAGAATTTCTTAGGTTACAAATGTGGGTTTTCAGATAGTTTTTATGTAAAATTCAAAAAATCAAATTTTTTATAATAAAATAAGATTTTTATTTGTATTTTAATAAAAGTTTTTAGTTTTAATTTTCTACATTCTAATATTATTTTAAAAATACTAAAATTTATTCAATTTTTTCATAAGTAGAAGAATTTGGTATCATTTTAATTATTTATTTCTTTTAAATGAAATTACTAGTTATTCTAAATAAATAAAACTTAATAAAACTTTTAATAAAAGAATCAATTTTAATTCTAAAAATAAATTAATCCTTTTATATTTGTTATATTTTAAATAATATATACCTTAACATTTAATATTAATAATTTAATTAGAATTTTTGTAACTTTTATCTTCTTGAATTAAAAGATTAAATAATAAATAAGATAATAATACATTTGTAATCCACCTATTTTTAGTTTTGATATCTTTACAAAATTGTATATATAAGTCCTTTATATTATCTCTTAAATGTTCAATATAAAATTATTTATTAAAAATTATAATAGTTATAAAAAATGAAAATTAGCTTATTAAGTATGTCTAATCAAGTCATATATCTAATAATACTATACTCATATATAATTTCAATAAATCATAAATTATCTATCTCTTGCAAGTTTTTTTTCTTTAGTAGTTTCTTCCTTTTCTACTGTAGACTTGATTATGGTGATAATTGATGTTAACCATAATTATGAATGGAAACTGCTCAAATAAGAATGATATGGGGTGAGTGCTGCGAAAAGGAACCGTATAGTTGCCTGACGAAACCTATTTTGGATTTGTCGACAAGTTTCGACAGGTTAGTTTATATAATTTTATTAAGGTTTCGACACTTTCGACATTCGACGTTCTGTCTAAACCCAGGAGTTTCGTCAGGCAACTATAAAGGAACCAAATTGTAAAAAAAAAAATTTTAAAAATAAGGATCAAACAATATATAATTTACAGAATAAATTTGAAATTCTAAAAATTTTTGTTTTTAAATGTTAAATCTTAACTTATTTTACTTTGGGCGCTCCGATTACTGCGCCTAATAATAATAAATTTCCCTAAAATCTATTTGACATAAATTTCGTAAAATGGCTTCTAAGAGGCTGAAAAATTTTTTTATTCTCCAACTAGTTTAGTAAAATAAACTATTGACCTGATAATATACGTAATCAAATATTATTCTTGTCTAAAACAGGTAATAGTCACCGATAAGGAAGAAATTTAAATTAAACGAGATTTAGCGTCAAGTCAAAAAATGTTAATTCTTTGGGTATTATTATTTACATGGAGAAATTGGTTGATTTTTCATCTTTGTGCCATGTTGCGAAACTTCAAAAGAACTTCGAATTATCATAATCATTTTTCCTTTTCAACTTCCATATTTCCAGGTTTTCTGAAGTTCTGCAAAATAATATAAGCATAAGATTTTTTCGAGAAAAGTTTGTAGCTAGACGCAGAAGTGGATCTTTTTATTTATCAATTGCCAATTACATTATGCATTATATCAGTGATGTAAACATTATTCATTCCCTTATACAATGATCTCATTATATGCAATAGATTCGGCTTCTTAAAAAATCGTTCGATAAATTTTTTTTTGAATTTTAATTTAATTAATCAATCAATTAATTACTTGTTTTGAAAGAAAAAAAAAATCCATGGCACAAATCTTTGTATTTGCAAATCGATTTTATTCAACAAAATATCAAAGTCATCCTTCAATAACTTTAGCATTTACAAACGCAGGTTTAGCTGCAACATCGGACGTATTAGCGCAATTAATAACATTAAATCGACCCTCAAAATCTCCAAGCGAAACCTCAACTCAACAATTTGATTTCAATCGTTTAGGAAGGATTACAACTTATGGATTTTCAATTGCACCGATAATTCATACATGGTTTACATTTCTTGATAAAAGATTTCCTTTTAATAATGATAATAATATGCGACCACTATCGTCACAAAAACTTTTGCTTAATAAAAAGAACTTTTTAATAAAACAAAATCAAATGGTTTTTAAAAGAGTTTTATTAGATCAAATTGCTTTTGCACCTTTTGGATTATGTTTATTTTTTGGTAGTATTGGAATATTGGAAGGGAGAGATTTTGAGGGGATTAAACAAAAATTTGAAGAGGTAAAAGAAATCTATATTTTTACTTTATTATTCATTTTATTATTATTATTATTATTATTATTTCATTTTCGTGAATAAATTTTTTTAGGCCTATCTTCCCGCTTTAAAAGCTAATTATACGGTATGGCCTTTAGTTCAATTTGTCAACTTCAAATTTTTACCATTAAGATATAGAGTTCCGTTTGTTAGCTCTGTTGGTGTTTTGTGGACCGCTTATCTTAGTTTATTGAATAGCACAACTACAAATTAATTCTACTTTCTTGGGGGAAGTATTTAAAAGCATATTTATTCAAAGTTAATTAATATATAAACCTTAAATCACACATTCTGAATTATTTTTTTAAAAAAATAAACGAATTATAATTATAGATAAATTATTTAGGTGTTCAACTTGGAATTTTTTCCTCTTAAAATTTCTATTGTATATATATTAGAGTTTCAGAATATTGAGGTTCGAACATTGTAATCTGTATTCTAATTGATAATACTGTATATATATTAAAATATTAAGAGCATTTTTCATAACGAAATGATATTTAATTTGTAACGATTAAAAAGATGCCTATAAATAACGTCGTTTCTCAATCACGTGAAATAATCATAAATCCATCTATAAATAAATCAGCTATTTTATGTTAGATTTATATATGTTAAAAAATAATTATTAGATCCTTTAAATAATTTAAATGATTGATAATATATAATAAATACAGCTGTACATATATGTACGTAACTATTAGATAACAATACAAAATAAAAAAAAAAAAATTTTCTTTTGAAAAATACATGGATAAAAAATGAAGTTTATAAAAATAAAAGGGACCATCTCTCAATTTTAAATAATAATAATTAAAAAATAATAAATTTTTTTTTAAAAAAAAAAAAAAAAACCAAGTAAATCAATTCTCTTGAGCTTCTTTAAATTATTAATATTATTTATGTCTTTAACCATTAACCACCCACTCTGAAACATATGAAAATCCTTTAAACTCTTCCTGTGCTTCAGATTTTAGATGACTGTGAACAGGTGTAAGGACAGGCACTTCACTTGTAAATTCATCATCGAAATTCGATGTATCTGTTGGTGATGACTAACAATTCGTAAAAAAAAAAGAGAAATCAGGTATAAGGAATAATTTTTAAAAAAAACATAATTGGAAAAATGAAACAAAAGAATTATACTAAATTTACTTACAATTGAAGGGTAGAAAGGAGGTGGAACTTTCTTCGCGAGCATATCTTCCCAATTCACTCCTTTAAAGAAGGGGTGTCGCTTTATGTCTTCAGCATCGCCGCGTCCTGATCCAAGTCTTTTTTCAGGATCGCGAGTAAGCAACTAAGAAATATGATTTGACAAGTCATTTAGTTAATTACATCATAAAAGCATCATGTAGTAACGTTACAATTCAAACTTACTTTCTGCAATATAGATACAGAATCTCTTGACATATTAATGGGATAGAGAATTTCATCCTCCAAAATAGCATCAAATATTTCGTCTTCGTCATCACCACGAAATGGTGATTGTCCGAGGAGCATTTCATAAATTAAAACGCCAAAAGCCCACCAATCAACTGCACGACCATATCGTTGTTCTAAAAGAATCTAATATAAAATAATATCGAATTAAAGTAACTGTTTAGCTAAAAATTTAAAGTTCTAATAGTTCTAATAAATTTCCCAATATACCTCAGGTGCCATAAATTCCGGTGTTCCACAGAATGTGTTAGTAGTATGACCCCACCATATTTCCTCTTTACAAAGACCATAATCAGCAATTTTAATATGTCCATCCAATGTTAACAGTATGTTATCGAGCTTGAGATCTCTGTATATAATACCAACTTTATGCAAATATTCCAAAGCTAATAAGACCTCAGCAGCGTAGAATCTTAATAGATGAAAGGAATTTAGATGAAATTGTAACACGCCCTTCATGGTGAAGCTATAATTTGATTTCTAAAAAAAAAAAAAAAAAGTAATAAACTTACTGTGCTCGTCGATAAGTAAATTGCTCTCTTTGGATATGCAACATTAAGTCACCACCGCTGACGTATTCCATAACAAAGTAGATACGAGTTTCTGTTTGAAAGCACGAGTGTAAACCAAGCAAGAATGGGTGACGTTCTCGATTGGCAGCTTGAAAAACACGTTTTTCGGACCTCGTGCTTAAGTGGATAATAAAATTTCAATTATTAGAAATATTTTGATAATTCATTTGAAGATTAAATATTGAAACACGTACCTTTCTACTTCGTCATTTTCAATAATAAACTCTTTTTTAAGCACCTTGATAGCATAAAGTTGCTTTGTATATTTTTCCTCGGCCAGCATAACCTATAACGAAATTAACATTAACAAAAGTTTATTCATTAACTTATGAAAAATATATCAACAAACCTTTCCGAAATTTCCTTTACCCAACACAGCAAGGAAATTGAAGTCATCTAAACCAACTTTACGATTTTTTTGAATTATAGATTCACTCTGATTATTCGGAGAAGGTGGTGAAGGCAGAGTCTATTTCGAGTAAAAAAAGGAAACACATTTAGACAATTCAATTTTTTTTTATAAATAAATAAAAGGAAAATGTTGATATATTACTACTGGTTGAACTGGAACTAGTTGAGGAGGAACGTAGGAAACTTGTGAATGAGATTTTGACGGAACCGGTGAAGGTACTACCGGCATATTAGCAGGTTGATTATATAGAGGTTGCTGTTGTACAGGTTGATTGTAAGTATCCTCCGAAACTTGAGAAAGATATGGTTTTGGTGGAGAATATCTCGGCTGAACAAATGTTTTCGGTGATGGAAGCAATGGTTGAATTGGCATTTTCTGAGGAGGTTCATTAGTGATGGGTGGATAACTATCAGCATGGACTAATTTATTCCTTAAAGCACTTTGAATTTGATCGATCATTTCACTAGCACGCTTCATAGTCATTCCACAGAAATCGGGAACAAGATGAGTACATTTGGCGTGGCAAGTAATATTACATTCTGTATTGATTAAATTTTATAAAAATAGTTAACAATAAAATTAACAGTAAAAAAGAATAATATGAATCGTATAACTAATATATACGGATCTATCCATACACACCGGAACATCTTTTAGCTCCCTTCTTTCCAAATGGAAGAAGATAGCCACAATGACAACACCAATTAGCTGTAATGTTAGTTATAACTTCAAAACGATGCGGAATACGGTGATTGAGTTGTTTATAAGAATCCTAGGGAAGTGGAAAATTTTAAATAAGCTTCACCAAAAGATAAAAATAAAAAAAAAGTTACTTACCAGTTCCGCATTAGATTTAGATATACATTTTGTAACAAATTTTTGGTAACATCTCTTATGACATGTTAATTTACAATCTAAAAGGTATTTAAATTTTAATTTTTTAATTTTAATTTTTTTTTTAAACAAAAAAATGAATTATATACATACCTTCACATTGATAACCTTCATTAACGAACAATTCTTCGCAATAAGCACATTTCATAACCTGATAAAATATCTGCTGAATAAATTTATGTCCATTTTGTTCATGAATTTCGCCCTTTTTCTTACGAAAGGCATCTTTTCTACCAAGAATTGCAGGTCTCTTACGAGCATTCTCTTTCACTAAATCATTCATAATAATTAATATAAAATAATAAGTTAATATAATTAGTTAAAATATATTAATTCTCAAATATACAATAGGGGAGCAAATTTACCAAAGTTTAGTTTGAGAAGTATTTGACCAGCTGGTTCAACTTCAAACCAAGCTTCAATGCCGTCATGCAAAACCGTCGTCCCAATTCCTTGTTGAGTTTGAGCCGCAGAATATGGAACGCTATAAGCATCTCCATAAGACGCATTATTCATATTAGTCGTTGGGGAATTCTGCATATCAAATTGAGCATTCGAAGCCGTAACCCATCCGGGACCGTTTGTAGCTTCGATCCTTTTCTTCCTAAGCTCTTCTGCGATATCCGAGATTTTGATCCATAATAGGCCAATAGGTACTTGTTGTTGTTCCAAAGTCTTATCATATAACGTGATTTCGACTTCACTCGCCTTTTCTATATGAAATTCGAAATCTTCATTCCATTTATCAGTGCGTGCAACACGTGTCTTGGCTTTCGTTGTACCATCGATATTGATCACTACTGTGGTGTCCGGAAGCTTGCCTTGTGTACGCAATGGTGAATGAGGAACATTTAGAGCTTGAAGGATACGAATATCCAACTTCCCTGTAACAGGACGCCGCAATCCAGGTTTGGACCTAATTGTTCTTTCGGTTTCGTCCTCTAAATTTCATTTAATAATGTGTTTAATTAAATTATTGACGGATCATGTGATATTTAAGAGTGCAGTAAAGTGTAATTTGATTAACAGAAAGAATTCAGAAATATATATATATAAGAATTCTGGGTTGTCATTCTTTCAATTAAATTATTAAGGAATTGGTTTTATATCACCATCGTTTTACGAATGAAATAAGAAAAAATATTGCATTCTTTTTCTTTTTTTTTTTTTTAAAAAAAAAACCTCACCTTCTTCATCATCATCTTCACCAATATATAAGTTCTTATATTTGTGTAAAGATCTCTTTAATATTGAAAGTTTCTCTTGACTTTCCAACGTTTTGATCGTCACTTCTTGAATGCTTTTCCTGTCTTTCGGATTTGATAAAGTCACCGCTTCCATCATCTTTTCCGAGCCTTCTTTAAGTTTCTGCTCGACACCGAGTTTAAACTCGAGTTCATGTAGTTTCATAGATATCTTCAAATTCGTAATGGGCGTATCCGATTTTATGAGGTCTGTTGATAGTAGAAAGTATCCGGCGAACACACTTGATCAGTCGAATGGTTCGCAATTATAATTTTAGTGGCGATGCAAACAATTCAATTCACTGGTGCAAAAAAAAAAAGAGAATTCGCCACGAAATCCCACCCAAATTGGACAATGCAGTCTTGCGGCCCATAGTAGATATTGATTCTGGTTCTTCACGAGTAATCTGTTGGTTCAAAGAAGCGGAGCGTGGTTGTTGTTGATTGTTATTAAAACCACCAGTAGATGGATATGAGTAGGTATATTGTGACTGTGTTGGTGATAGATTTGAATAAAATCCACCACCACCGTATTGACCCGGTTGTGAGCCATGTCTCTGTTTCACATGTAACTTTTCTAATTCTTTTGTTAAATAATCAATATGTCTAGATGCATCTACTATACTCTGTTCAGCCTGAGCCTGAACCATAGAGTTTGAAGTAGAGGACTTTACCCGTACGGCAGCTAACCGCATCTGTTCCTCTTTTTTAATTTTTTCATTGATAGATTTTATTCTGGATTCGAGATCCTAAAAGGTAAAGAAAATAAAATAAAATAATTTTTTTTTTTCAGTTCATTCATCTATTACTCAAGATTTTGCTTATAAAAATTTTGGGTTTGAAATGCATAGAATTGTATAACTTACCCCCGTAGCTTTCTCTCCCATGGCTAGCTTATTTTTTCAAGTTCAAGGAAAAAATTTCAGTTGAATAGGAGACGAAAAAAAAAAATGATATGCAATAAAAATTTATAGTAGATCATCAAAAAATATGCCGGGTTTTTTTGGCAAATAGTGGAAAACGGAACCATAAACGGAGAAAGTAATTTTTTTCTAATTTAACCCTATTGGTTGCACAAGCAATCATTTCATTATTTATTCCATAAAACCTTTCCTAATACCGAACGTTCCTTGTTTCTGATATTTCGCAAAAACGTTTTTTAAAATCTCTCGGTCTTTATCTTGATTTGATTTTATCATTCAAATGATCAACTAGACAAATTTAGTACATGAAATTACTTTAATAGTCAATTATTTAACTCCATTCTAATCATGTGAAATTCCGATTTAATTTGCCTTTTAGAATGATAAAAAAATAAAATGTCTTATACTTATTTGGTAAGGTTCTTATTTGATAAGACAATAAGTAAAGATTGATTCAAAAAGTGATCACAGCCTAGTTAATAGACGGGTATTTATTAAATGATATGTTGGTCAATGCAAATTCCAACAGTAGACAATATTGTCGCGTTTAAAGTTGCATGTCGAAGTTACACGTGATGTGTGTACTACATTGTTAAATTTCCGAATATATTTCTCGTGACAAACTATAATTACGCCCTTTATTTTCTTTTTTAAGATAAAAAATAATAAATATTGTTTTCATTCGCCGATCCTGAGATCATGATTGAATGTCGCTCGCGTTTAAATTGACAAGTAGATTTCTAAAAACGTAATGTGACTTATAATATAATAAAAACGCCATTTATTAAAATTCTATATTTAAAGGAATAAACCTTTTAGATTGAATTGATGATATATTTCATTCATAGTCGTTTTTGTCAAGTCGGAAAATGATTATTGTTGATAATACGATTTTACAGTTTCCTTCTTTAAAATTTCAAATTTCAAATAATGGCTTTTCCTAGTTATCCTCCTGGTAAAATAATTTTGTTGGATGAAATCGAAAATAACACGAAACATTGGTTTGGAGAATATCTTCGAATTGCTGGGAAGTAGGTTTTTTTTTTCCACCACCAAAAAAAAATAAAACGCGTTTTCTACGCGAACATCTTACTCATTACTTATTATTTTAGATTAATTTATCATAACACAACAAAGAATATAGCCGTAATTGAACAAAATATTAAATGTACAAGCAATAAAGAGAAACAGCGCGAAGGACATTTACACGAAAAGTTCAAAATAAAAAATTGTTTTTTAATTGTTGATACAAAACTTGTTGAAGACGAACCATATAAAGAATGTAAAATTGCTGAATTCCTTGGGCTGTTGATAAATGATGTGAGTATTAATTATAAAAATTTTAATATCTATTATTAGTACTTTAATTATTATTTGATTTATTTTTAAATTAGAATGATTCTGTCTCAAAATTTCATCAACTTCCTCAAAAAATTCAAGATATGATCACTGTTGATATACAGAGGACAAGCTTTCCTTTATTGGAAGCGCGTATTTTTCGTAATGTCGATTTCATGGATATGGATCTTTATCAAGATGTGATCAATATGAGGAATAAATATGAACAAGAATGATTTTATAATTGAAAAAACTCGCATTGTAAATAAATAAAACTAGACCCTTGAATATTAAATATATATTTTATTAAGAAATATTTCGATTATAAATATTGTTTACTGCATAATATTTATATTTTATGACGTCAAACTGTTAATCTCATTTTGTAATTGTTCTATAAAATAAATAATGTTTACGAAAAAAGATTGGTTATAATCAATTATTTTAAAAAAAGGAATAATTAATAGTTTTTGATTTCTACCTGCAAGAGTGTAATCCTCGCGATTTACGGCCTCCTGCAATTTTGCTTCTAGTTCTTCAAGTCTGGTTGAATCATTACCGATTATATTAATTGATTCGCTGAAATCTACTTAAAAATATATAATTAAATATATATATAAATCAATAAAAAACAAGAATATTTATTTACCTTTACTTTTCACAATAACTTCTTGAAAATTTTCCAATTGATTAGATTGGATTTTTGAATTCGAAAGTCCATATCTTGCCTTAATTTGATTGATGCAAGATTCCAATCCTTTTATTTCATTACGTAATAAACTTACTAAAATGTGATGGTTTCGCTGGCTGGCTCTACAAATTTAAAAGTGTTAATATGAAACTAACTATAAAAGCTAAACATAAAACGTAAACTAATACGTACACATCGTATCTTGATCGATGTTGTAGGAGTGATTCATTTAACTCCTCGAACATGTCTGACCCTACGAGTATGAAACTATAAATTAACCATTTCTCAAAATTGAAAAAAAGAAAATGCCATATAATCTAATCAAGTTTATACCAGTATTTTTCTCGACTTCAATCAATTTGGAATGATACTCTTCCAATTTTTTTCTTGCCATCTTTAAATCTTCCTGGTCTTGTTCCAAACTTGAGCACTTTGTTTTCAAAAATTTAGTGCGTTCGTCACGAGTTGACTGAAGATCTTTTATTCGAGTAGCTAAACGAGCTGCTGATTTGAAATCTTTCCCTAAATACATGATAAAAATACAAATATAAATTTAATAAATATGAAATATGGTGAGATAATTAAACATATAATAAAACGTACCAACAACGGCCAATTTCTTTTGTTCTTCCAATGCAGGTATTTGTGTATCTATAGTTGATATATCTTGCTGAACATTCGAATAAGTTTGTTTATCGTGCATTACCTTAGAAGTTAATCTTTTAACTTCAACGTCGTATTCTTCCATTTGCGCGCGAATCCTACATATATATATTTCTTAGTTTTCTATTTGATAAAACTTAAGTTATCGATAAAGCGAATAATTTTTATATACTCTGAAATCTCCTTTTCGCAATCCAAATCTCTTTGGGCACGACCCCTTAGATGTTTTATCAACTTTTCGATTTCAATGGCTTCTTCACGATGAATTTTAGACATGGATCCCATCTCTCCGATACGTTTTTCTAACAATGTTAGTTCTTTCTGTGATAATTCGCGTTGTTTTTGATAATTATCAAGTCTATTATGCAATTGGTTATCCATTTCTTCTACGTGCCCCTTTTTTTTATATTAATAAAAAAATTTAATGAGGTGAAATAATAAAGTTGTTCAAAACATTTAATTGAAATTCAAGAAACACTAACCGATTTATTCTCAAGTTCTCGTTTTCTATTATCCAACTCATTTTTCTCCCTTAACAAACCTTCTCTTTCGGAGCTATATTCACTTGTAATACTTTCTATTTTGAGATCTATATCGCTAATTTGCTTGCTGTAACCATTTTCATCGGCGCGTAATCTTTCGATACGTAGCATTAGTTCTTTTATTTCCGCCTGAAGATAAATTTTTATTAATATTATATCCAAGAAATACATGAAGATCAATCTTTAATTATAGCATACGCGTATGTTTTCTCGCTTTTTAGAAAGGGTTTCACGTTCAGATTTTTCATTCCGACAATGGTCTTCAATTCTTTCATTAAATTCAACCTCCGATTTACTCCAAAGATCCTCATCAAATACAATTTCACTGTATAATATGAGATTCAAACACATTAAAACTCGATAATATGTTTATTTATATTTATTAAGATGAAAACGTCAAACCTTTTTGCTTTTTCAATTTCTTCTCGTTCAGAAATTATTTTTTTGGTTTCCACATTGCGTAAATTTTCGATATCGACGTCATATAATTTACAAGCTTCAATGTGTTCATTCTAATATTCCAATAAAATTAAATTAATGAGAATCAAAAGTAGAAAGCCATCAGGTACAAATTCAAATAATCACCTTCTTTTTTTTCAATTCTTTTTCTAAAATTCTACGAATATCTGCCTTACTTTTTAAATAATCAACTTGTTTTTCTCTCAATTCATTTAATGTCTGATCCAATCCAGGTAATACACCACGCAAATTATTAATTTTATGATGAATTTCTTGTATCTCATTTGTCAATTTATCTGCTTTAGCATAGTCCTCGCTGGATAACGCACTTGTTTGATTGATTTCAAGTGATTTAACACTTTCAAAGTTCTATAAATTAGAAATAGTTAGACCTGGTAAAAAAAAAAATAAATAAATTAAATAAATAAAAAATAAACAAATATCCAAACCTCAGCCAATTGTTCATAAATAGAGTTTTTTCTTTGGAAAACATTTGATTGTATATTGAGAATTTGCTGCAATTCTACTTCCATCCTGGACAATTCTAATTCCGTGTTTCCCATATTATTATTCGCCTCACCCTTTATATTGGTGTTCGATTCCATATTAATATCAAGTTCTTCAAGAGAGACTTTATTGGTTTTGGAAGCGATTCGACGCGATTTCATAAAATTCAAAGAGTTCGAAAGATTTTGAGTTTGGAATGCTGGTTCTTGCTGTCCATTATTTGGTACAGAAAAGGATAACATATCTATATTTTTGTTTTAATTTTTTTTTAAAAAAAAATTCTATGATGTTATATAAATTTAATGACTTACTTTGTTTTGATTTAAAAATTATTATACAAACCTTCCGAAGATAATTGAAAAATAGTCTCATTTAAATTTGATCGTGGTTTTTCGAGTAGAATAGAATTTTCGAATGGGAAACTTGAAATTCTTTCATTCGTCCGTGGCGATTTTTTGTTTGCTTTGCATTAAGGATATTTAGGAATGATGGGATTCTATTGCAAATCATATCGCGAGTTCGACTTTACAAAAAAAAAAATATTATTGTAGACAATTTTATTTTTTATAAGCTTACCAGGTTTGGAAATAAACCCAAATGCCGAAGACTGTGTTGTAGTAGCAGTTGAAATTGACGGTGAAACATCATTGGATTTTAAAGGAATTTCAGAGAGATTACTAGGAAGGGATGCGATCGAGTTGACTGAACAGAATATATAAGAACAAAAAAGCAACACCCAACTTGAATGCTTATTTCATTTTTATCCGTTGAAAGAATTCTTTAATAATTTCAAAAAAAATCTTTTGAATGCATTCTATTATAAATAACGTACCCATGCGCTTGTTCCATCTATAAGTAGTCTGTTCCGGAGAATTCGGAACGGACGAGACCCGCTGGTGTTGTTGCATATTTGAGCGACGGTTATTAAAATTATCTGTCTTTACATTTACGTCAGCGAACAAATCGTGTTCCTCTTGAAAACATTAATGATTTGTAGCATGTTAGATTATTATTTAATTATAAAATGGAAATTGTGTCTTACCTTGTGTAGAGGAAGAGAATAAATCACCCATGTTTATGCTTAAAAAACGAGAAAAAAATGATTTTGTTAATTTTATAGACTTCGTCTATAGAGCCGATCATTAGATTAGCAACTAAATGATACTAACTAATTTATCCATTTTAGAAAATTTTCAGATATATTAATTTTACTATTATTACGAATATTAATTTTTCATATTACTTATAGTGACTTCCATAATTACTTCGTTTAAAATTTTAACTCGAAATTCAATGATCGTTCGACATGCTGAATTTAATTAATATAAGTATGAGTCTCTCTTTAAAATATATTTAGTTTTATTTATAATTTTAAAAAAATCCTAATAACAAAAATTTTCATGGTACAACACTTTTGCCACTTTAAAAAATAAAATTTAAAATTAAATTTCTTGATTAATTTTAATGAATTACATCAAACGAAAGTCAATATCAATTTGATTCTATACTAGTTGAATCTTATTCCAAGATCTTTTGCACTTGATTAGTTTTACCAAGTTTCAGTATTTCAGGCAGCATCATTAATAACACTTAACCAAATAATCATTTATATAGAACAAAAATATGGTAAAATTGATCTTAAAAGATCAAATTCAGATAATAAAAAATTATGTAAAGTTGTAGAACAAGAATTATTTTATTTTATTTTATTTTATTTATATTTAGGAAATACAGACAAGGCTAATACTAATAAAAAATAAAAATATTTGATAATTATAATGAAAAAAACTTTTACAATTTTTTTTTTTAAGTTATACTAAATTTATATAATAAATTTGTAGAAATATTAAATAAATCAATTTTAAACTGGATTATTAGTTTAGTTAACTTTTTAGCTATGGTTTTTATCATATCCCTTAGACTGTAAAGCAGGCAAATTTGCCTGAGAAGTTAAAAAAAAGTGTTAATTTCTTAATAAAATATTAAATATTAATTTTATTAATATCATTATTATATAAAAATTATAGTTTAATTTGTGATTCACTGATCACGGGATGTCGATCATATATGCAGGTAATAATTAAAGTGGGGATAATTAATATATTTAAATAAATATACTTGTAACAATCTCAACAACGTTATTAAAAGATTGTAAATAAACTGCTCAAAAGAATGTCCAGAAGATGGAAACCTTTGGTAACATTGATTGCTACTAGCATAATTGTTTCTGACTTGCACTTTGGGCTTTTTTTAAGAAACTGGTAGCACATTAGAATGTCGCAAGAGAACGAAACAAAAATTGAACAATACTACCCTTTCGGGTTAAAATGAAAACACAAGTTGAACTGAAAAACAGGCTTTTTACTATTCGAGTTGTTCAAGAAAATAAATATAACAATTTATTACTGGGGTTTTTATGCGAATCTTTGTTAGAGTCTAATAAGGAAATTGAAAATGACCCTACAAGTGCTATATCAAAATTATACAAAAAAATATTTCAAACTGAAATGAGTTTTTCTGAAAACTTTGATGATGGGTATGGAAAACAATGATATTTTAAATGAGCTTGTGTCAGACTTACCCTTTCAACCTTTTACAATAAATATACAAAAAATCAAAAAAATCAATATAATGATAAATTCAATTGGTATGCCAGCAAATAGGAAACTGGATGTGGATTTACTTCATCTTTTATTCATTCCAAATCTAAAGAACGTGTTTTACTTTTTCAAACTGTCAATGAAAATGGATGTTCTGTTCATATTTACAAAGAAAACCAATTGTCTAAAGAATTCATAGGTCAGATTCTAATAGTGTATGGAAAAAAATAGGTATATTAAAAGAATGGTCAGGAGCAACTTTATTTGGCTTAGATAATTCCAATGTAAAAGAAAAACTAGAACAAGTAAGAAAGTTATTATGTTTTCATGATGAGTGGCACAATTATTTAAAAATGAAGCAAATATTTAGACATCATCTACAAAAAATAAAATACAGCCAAGTTAATTGGTATTCATTATTTCAGGAATGGAAGGAAAATAATTATAAAATTATTGAATTATATAGTCAGTTAACTTTGTTATATTTGGATGGTTATATTTTTTCTGAAAGAAAAATTCGAGCATAGCGTGCAATGTTACATACTACTAGATGTGTTAATATAACACCATTTGATAAGGAAAAATCAGAAGTAAGTTATTATTTGTTAATTGAATCCATTGTTGGATTACTTATAGTGATGGATGTAGTAATAGATGTGTTAATAAATATGGTAATGAACGTGATGATGGACGTGGTGGTGATAGATGTGGTAATAAATAGTGATAGATGTAGTGATAGATATAGTAATAGACGTGGTGATAGTAATACATTGCGAATTTAAATATAACAGAATACTTCAAAAATTTACGTTATGTAGGTTTTCGTAACCCTACGAGGCTCACAGAGTTCTACGCAACGTAATACTTCGAAGGTCTATGTAACGTAATACTTCAGAGGTTTATATTTTGAAGGACTATATAACATAATACTTCAAAGGTTTATATTTCAAAGGTTTATATAACGTAATACTTCGAAGGTTTATATTTCAAAGGTCTATATAACGTAATACT